CTGCAAGGGTACGAGGCTAAGGTGGCCACTCTTAAACTTTCCTGTGTGGCATCACCTGGCTCATGTCCTCTCTTGGGGGAAGCTTCACCTGGCCCTGCACCATTGTTTGGGAGTCATGGAGGTCTGCATTCCCAAGCCTCACTCATGTCAAGCAGAAGTTTAGCTAAACTTGGGCCTGTTAGATAGGGAGAGGTGAATATAAGACCTGCCAGGCTTTCTGAGAAATGTAGCTGTTCAGTTACAATGTCGGCCATGCTTGTAATATTCAACCTCAAACTTACTTAGAAGTCCAAATGTTTCATTATACGCAAGAGGGAAGACAACTGTCTGCCTTGTCTTTGGGGGCATGAGAGCATTTCTGATCTCCCCAACAACTGCTGGAATACTGGATGATTAAAATCAGACGTGGTTAACAGGGAGCTGTTATGTTTTGTTTCCATTTGACAGAGGAAGGCAACAGAGACCCTGAACCCTGTCTCAACCAACCACCTGGGGCTTAACTAGAGGGCAAAGGAACTAGGACGAGGGCCCCTCAACGCACCCCTTTTCCATGCCATGGCTCTTTCCTCCAACTATAGGCATCCAAGAATGAAGAGACCCACCTCTCTAACAGAGCCACCTTACCCACCTGGGTAGAAGACCTCGCTTTTGGTAGTGCCCTCTCTCCACTGGTGGAAGGTGCCAGAGATGATGGTATCCGAGATCTCAGCCCAATAGCGCCCTGAGAGACAATCAAATGGACACTGAATATCAGGGTATCCGCTCCACTCGATGGCCTGGCCGAACATCAGGAAGGAGGGCATGGGCCCTTGTACAGCCCCAGCCTCCCAGTCCGGCCCGCCGCCAGCACTGACCCGAGTGGCCGCTAGAGCCCAGGGCGGTGCCGAAGAGCAGCACGTACTCGGACAGGGAGGCGTGCAGAAGGCACATGGCGCCCATCCAGCCTCCCGCGTTCACGAACACCCACTGCAGCTCCTCGTCGGGCAGCACGTGGCCTGGGTGCAGGCGCCGCAGCTCCACGATCAGCCGAGAGAAGGCCAGCTCGTGGTCCAGCCCTGGCGGGGGCAGAGGAACAACCAAGTCAGGGCCAGCATCGGTCACGAACTGGGGAACGGTGACCCCGGAACCTCCAGCTACGCCCGGCCCTCCCCAGCCCCCTGCCCTCCACCCGCCGCCTCACCGGCGTACTGCCGAGCCAGCTGCGCGATCTCTTCATGCTGGAAGACGAAGCTCTGAGTGCCCAGCCAGTGCCAGACCACCTGGGCCAGCATAGCCACGGCCGCCAGGAGCAGCGCGGCCCACGCCCACCGCCGGCCCACGGCCCACTGCATCCCAGCGGGCGGCCTGGCCCAGCGCAGCGCAGAGAGAGGTGGGGGCCTAAGGCTGTGACCCTCACTGCCTCCGTGTCTCTTGGCGCGCCGTCTACGACCCGTTCCCCCGCCACCGCCGTGGTACGGCTCGCCCTGGCCAATCGGAACTGCCAGGGCACTGGGGCACCGCCTCTCGGGTCGAACCATTATCTCTCGTGGAGCGGGGAGCCGGGTGCGCCGAAGGGCGGGGCGGCGCCGCGCGCGTCAGGAAAGGGGGCGGGGCCAAGCTCTCCTAGCTGCAGGCGTTGGGGTATCTAGGCACGCTCTCGCCTAGCGCCGTTCTACTTGGGGTTGTGGGGATGGCGGTGAGACCCAGAATGGACTGGCCCGCCTGGGCTCCCTGACTGGTGAAGCAGGCAACCCGGAAGCAGGGCCTTCCGGACTTGTGATGGTTAAGGCCCGCCTTTGCTAGCACAGGAGGTGGGAAGGAGGCTCTTCTACTTGGGAACGTTACGGACGGCTTTTGGAGGCGGTGACACCTGAGCAGTGTCTTTAAGAGCGATGGGAAGGGCATTCCAGTGAGCCAGTGAGACCTACTCCAAGAGCAAAGGCACCAAGGAGAGACAGCGTGGGGTCTTCCGGGGGCCAACAATTCATTCTTTATTCTGAAGTACAAAATATGAGAGGAGGGCCTTGTAAGCCAACTGAAGGTTATCGGCGGCGGCGGGGATTGGGGGGGGGTGGAGTGAAAAAGGAAGAGAAGCAGAAAAGAAACGGAAGAGAAAAGAGGCAGCATAGTGCAGTGATAAGAAAGACACTCTGGACAGGACTGGGTTAAAAGCCTGGCTCCCGCCACCTACTGGTTGTGTGATCTTGGGCAAGTTACTTAAACTCTTTGTGACTCAGTTTTCTCATCTGTAAAATGGGATGAATAAAAGTACATACCTTTATTGTGATGAAGCCTAAATGAGTTAATATTTACAAAACAATTAGTGTCTGGCATGTGGTGTCATATGTGTTAGTTATAGCAATAAAACATAACGCAGAAGAGAACTGGAAGAGTGTAGCCTCACACATGAGAGTAATGGAATGGTCAACACAGTCAAATATAATTGAGTGGTCCTATGAAATGACTGGAAATGGTCATTGGGTTTCTCAGTATGGGCATGTAGCAGAGATTATGCTATACATTCACAAATCCATTCCTTTTGCTCTTGGACAGCCAGTCTACTTTGTAGTTAGGTGAGGCCATGTGATTGTGTTCTGTCCAATGAAGTATAGGCAGAAATTACAAATGCCATTTCCAGGTCTGGCTCGTAAAATCTGTGAAATTCTCGACACTCACTTTCTTGTCTTATCTAATATAGTTACATACAATTAAGTAGTGGAGAATTCCAAATGCTGCATGGGACAGAGCTCTCCCTCTCTCCCACAATGGACCATGGTACTAAGCCACTGAGTTTGGAGGTTGTTTGTTACAGCAGCTAAGATTATTTACCCCGACTACTACAGGGCAAAAAACATGTTATAGTGTACTGTGCGGGTAAGAGTAGAGGCTGGGAAGATGAACTAATTTTTGAGAAATTTGACCAAGAAAGGAATGATAAAAAAGGGATTATTTAGGGCTTCCCCGGTGGCGCAGTGGTTGAGAGTCCGCCTGCCGATGTAGGGGACACGGGTTCATGCCCCGGTCCGGGAAGATCCCACATGCCGCGGAGCGGCTGGGCCCGCGAGCCATGGCCGCTGAGCCTGCGCGTCCGGAGCCTGTGGTCTACAACGGGAGAGGCCACAGCAGTGAGAGGCCCGCGTACCGCAAAAAAAAAAAAAGAAAAAAGAATGCCATTTGCAGCAATATGGAGGGACCTAGAGATTATCATACTAAGTGAAGTAAGCACATAATGCTGGGACTTCCCTGGCGGTCCAGTGGTTAAGACTCCACGCTCCCAAGGCAGGGGGCGCAGGTTGGAAGCCTGGTCGGGGGATTAGGATCCCACATGCCGCACAACGTGGCCAAAGAAGAAAAAAGAAAAGAAAAAAAAAGCATTTACAAAAGTAAATAAGCAAATAGTTAAAAAAAAAAAAAAGCTGATAATGCTTCCTGTTTTTCTCCATCTTGAATTCCCCTCAGGGTGCACCACAGTTGTGGGGGCAGCTGCAGCCCTGATGCTGTAGCAAAATTTGTTGTTTACTGAAATAGCAAGGCAACATTCCCTTTCCACAAAAAGTGTATCTTTTATCCCCCTTACATCCCTATTACATGTGCAGCCAGGGGGACATGTAAAACTCTGGTTTCTTAGCTCCCTGCTCCCTGCCCTCTACCTAGTGGCCTCTTTAGATTCCAGTCTGAGGCCCCTGGGCAGAGATAAGGTAAATGACTTATGACCCAGTTTTTACATCTGAGCTCAGCAAAACACCTGGCTTGTCCTGGCCTGGTTTGGGGGAAGGGGCCTCACTGCTACTTCCCAGCTCCTAGCTCACTAGGTTTCTATCTTAAGGCTCACTGAGGGAGTTTCCTGGTGGCCTAGTGGTTAGGATTCTGGGTTCTCACTGCTATGACACAGGTTCAATCCCTGGTCGGGGAACTGAGATCCTGCACACGGCATGGCCAACAAACAAACAAACAAACAAAAACTCACTGAAGTCTCAGAGGCATTTCAAAGCATCAGGAAGAGCTTGGAAACTTGGGTTGAAATCTCAGCTTGGCCACTTATCCTCTGGGTGATCTTGAGGCCTCGGTTCTCCACTGTGAAATGGGGAGGAGGTTCAGATAATATTTAGATGGCTCTATAAAGTGTCAGGGGAGGAATTAATTTGAAGTTTATCCTAGTGTTAGCCAACTGGTTTTTTCCAAGGAAAAGTTGGAGAAGGGACAGGGGTGTGCAAAGGAAACACCTCTGACCCCACCCAGATGGTGGTTGGAGCTACTGATAGTCCTGTCCTCCCCACATTTTCAGATTTCTTATAGCCCTCTTACCCTGACCACTTCTTGTGCTTTGTGTGTGTGTATATATGAGAGAGAGAGAGAGAATATGATTACTTAGCCCTTTTTTCCCAAACCCGTTTCTGCTGCCTGGTGGGGCTAGGGCATGGTTACGGTGAGGTACCCACTCCTCCAGATAGTACCTGAAGCCAAGGTTTAGCTGAAGCAAATCAAGCCCCACAGCCCCTCACTCCCACCTCCTTGCCTTTCCTTTGCCCGAGCCACCAAGCAGGTGAGTGAGGTGACTGTGGATCCAGAGTTATACCCTGACTTACCCTAGAATGTAAGCTCTGGGAGGGCTGAGTCTATGCCTGACTCGTGCACACAGGGACATCCCTTTGCGCCATGTGGAGCCTAGGGGCCTGGCACGTGGTGGTAGATAGTAAATATTTGCTGAATGAGTGACCAAATGAATGACTTTAAGAAAGCAAATAACTCTTGTAAGCATCCTGGAGCAGAGGGATCTGTGGTAAGCAGCTTTCACAGAGGTTCTTCCAGGGTAGTTAGTGGCTTTGGCCCTACAGTGGGATCATCAAAGTCGCCTCCTGTAGCTGTAGGCAGTCCTGAACTCCGCCCCCAGGTGGCCGGGCCGGCCCTCAGACAGTCACGTGCTTGCGGCTGTCCAATCAGCGAGGGCGGGGCGAGGGCGGGGCGGAGCCGGGCCGACTAGGCGGTGGGGGCGAGGTGAGCAGGTAGAAGTTACCGAAGGTATCTCCACCCGGTGGCCTCCTGGCGCGCAGGGGAGGGTGTCCTGAGCAGCGCCGGCAGGCGTCGGAGGCGGACGCCATGGCCACAACCTTCCGGGCGAGCGGTAACCGCAGGGCGGCCGGGACTCGCTGGGAAGCAAAGCTGAGCCCTCCCCTTCCTTAGGAAGTTGTCGTCCCTGCCCGCAGGTCGGCGCGCCCACCCGTCCAGGCACGCGCGGCGAAGGGACACGTCGGTGTTGGGGCTGCAGGCTGATTGGCGCTGGGAACGCCCAAGCTCTGGCCTTTAGCTCCTGAGTAGGGTTGGGACAACAGGGTGCATCCGAGCCTGGGCCTGCTGGTGGGTAAGACCCAGGGGAGAAAGGGGCCTAGGGCTTTGTGACTGATCTTGACGGTTTGCCCCCAGAGCATCAGCATATCCGCTACAACCCGCTACAAGATGAGTGGGTGCTGGTGTCAGCGCACCGCATGAAGCGGCCCTGGCAGGGGCAGGTAGAACCCCCGCTTCTGACGACAGTACCCCGCCAAGACCCCCACAACCCTCTGTGTCCGGGGGCCACACGGGCCAATGGAGAAGTAAGTCTTTAGATCCTACATCTGCAAGCTGGGCCCCGGGGGGAGTAGTTCCCCATCCACTGCCCTTAGAGCTTCTCTTCACCCTACAGGGGAGTGGACCCTAGCCCTTCGCCCCACAGGGGAGTGGACCTCTGGGTCATATCCCACCAAGTCTTTTTGACCTCAGAGTGGCCTTCTTCCCGCCTTGTAGCCTTGAAGCCCATCAGATGACTGGTGGTATGGGCCAGCAAATGCTTCTAGCCCATCCTTGTCTGTAGGTGAATCCCCACTATGAAGGCACCTTCCTGTTTGACAATGACTTCCCAGCTCTGCAGCCTGATGCCCCTAGTCCAGGTAAGTTGGATCTAGCTGCTGTTGGGGAGAAGAGGCTGGACCTTGTTGGGGGACTTCTGTAGCAGAGAGTGATACCCCTTTATCTTAGGACCCAGTGATCACCCCCTTTTCCAAGCAGAGGCTGCTCGAGGAGTTTGGTAACTATGAATTTCCACTCTTACACCCTTCAACCCGAGGCCTGGACTGAGCACTGGGGTTGGGCCCTGCCCCCAGCTCAACGAGCCCTGTATCTCTGTCATCTCTCCCTCCTTTACCACCTAGTAAGGTTATGTGCTTCCACCCCTGGTCGGATGTGACACTGCCACTCATGTCAGTCCCTGAGATCCGAGCTGTCGTTGATGCATGGGCCTCAGTCACAGAGGAGCTGGGTGCCCAGTACCCTTGGGTGCAGGTCTGTGAGGTCGCCCCCTCCCCTAGATGGGCAGGGAGGGGGTGGTGCAGTTTGGTTTTGGGAAGTGGCATTTTTATTTCCACAGGTTGTGTTTCGGAGGGGTTGACTTGCTGTCCTTTTGGCTATAAAGCTCCCTACCCCTACTTCATAGATCTTTGAAAACAAAGGAGCCATGATGGGCTGTTCCAACCCCCATCCCCACTGCCAGGTATGTGTGTCAGGGGCTTCAGTGGATATCTGGACTGAGTCCAAGACAGTGTGGGGTGGGGAACTGGAGTAAGGGAAAACAGAGGAAGTATGCTAGTGATGTGGAGGCTTGGAGGTGAGGGATACTGTCTGCTCTTCTCCTCCCCCTTGACAGGTGTGGGCCAGCAGTTTCCTGCCAGATGTTGCCCAGCGTGAGGAGCGATCTCAGCGGACCTATCAGAGTCAGCACGGAGAGCCCCTGCTAATGGAGTATGGCCACCAAGAGCTGCTCAGGAAGGTGGGAGAAAGCTGGATCTTGTGTCCCCAGGAAGCCCGTAACCTCACCCCAAAAAGGAGAGGTGTGTGAAGGAGGAGGGTAGAAGGGAAGTAGCAGAGAGACTTGCTAGGAGGACATAGCAGTAAGCTAAAGGAAAGGTGATGATGGCTTAGACTAGGGTGGTAGTGGTGGAGTGGTGAGAAACCATCGGTTTCTGGGTACGTCTTCTCCTTCCCTTGCCTATTTGCTGACCCCCCTCACACCCACCTTGATGACCTCATCTCCATTTGGTCGGCCTAGGACCGTCTGGTCCTAACCAGTGAGCACTGGTTAGTGCTGGTCCCCTTCTGGGCAGTGTGGCCCTTCCAGACACTACTGCTGCCCCGTCGGCATGTGCGGCGGCTGCCTGAGCTGACCCCGGCTGAGCGTGACGGTGAGTCTCCCAGGTGGGACCCTGGGGCCAGGCTTTGGATGCGGATGGTTCTGGTGGGGCCAGCATCTGGGCCCCAGACTGAGAGTCAGGCTCTGATTCCAGATCTAGCCTACATCATGAAGAAGCTCTTGACCAAGTATGACAACCTATTTGAGACATCCTTTCCCTACTCCATGGGCTGGCATGGTGAGGCTTTTTGAGTACCCATATCTAACCCCAACACCATTTCTGGGCTCCTGGGTCCCAGCTTAGTGGACTGCAACTCCCAGCAGGCCTTGGAACACTTGCTGGGGAAGTGTTCAGGGCAGGGATGCTGGGACTGAGAGTGGAGAAGTGAACGTGGTGAAACTATGTCTCCCAGTGGGCTTTCCAATGCCTTGTCTCCTCTCTGGCAGGGAATGCTGGAAGATGTAGTTTTCAGGTACCTGCTATGGTCTGGGGGTAAGAGCTAGGCTGAAGAACTAAGAAAGGACCCTTCCCAACTATCTCTGCCTTCTTCCCACCAGGGGCTCCTATGGGATCAGAGGCTGGAGCCAACTGGGACCATTGGCAGCTACATGCTCATTATTATCCTCCACTCCTGCGTTCTGCCACAGTCCGGAAATTCATGGTTGGCTATGAAATGCTTGCCCAGGCCCAGAGAGACCTCACCCCTGAGCAGGTCTGGACTTGGAGCACCCTGGGTCCTTGGGTCCCCTTTTCCCTCCTATTTCCTCAAGGGATCCCAACAATCATGACCCTGAGAATCCCCACAACCTGGGTATTTCTAGGGACTCAGGAGCTGACTCCTTCATCCTCTGGCTATTCCAGTGGTCGTTCTCACCAGCCTCCCCACCCTGCATGCTCTCCCCCAGTGTCTAGCGTCTCCTAGCACTCACCATTCTGGGCAGCCCTTACCCTCTCTGATTATCCGCTTTCCCCCTTCCAGGCTGCAGAGAGACTAAGGGCGCTTCCTGAGGTTCATTACCGCCTGGGGCAGAAGGACAGGGAGACAGCAGCCATCGCCTGACCACACTGACCACAGGGCCTTCTGCCTGAGGGAACTAGGGCCTAGGGTTTGGGCAGATGTGGGATCAATAAAACTGTGCTTCTCAAACTTTAATCACATATTCTAACACCAGAGGAGTGTGAACTCTGATCCTTGGGGGTCTGGGGTTAAAGGCCGAAGGCGTAGCTCCAGCCACAACTTTTCTTTGCCAACAGATGTGCAAAAACTTAAGGGCACAACCTCCCCACCTCTTTGCCCCAAATCTCTGAACAAAATTAATACTCGTGTCATGTCTGGCTTTTACTCCTAGAGTAACAAAGGCATCCCAGTTTAAAATGGTTTTAGAAACCTTTGTTCTTGTCTTTGGCTGAGGCTTTGGGAAGGCCAGAGTCCCCTTTACTACCATCCCTAGGGTGTCAGCTCACCAAGCTTGGGACTGAAGGTTTGGTTGGAGTGGGTGAGCAGGATCCTTGTCCCATTGGTCAGTGGCTAGACCCTAGGCTCCTGGCCAGAACCCTGGCTTTGTGAGTGGCTGCAGCTTGGCTCTGCTCCAGCCCACAGAGGCTGAAGGGGCGGGTAGGGAACGTGTACGTGGCTTTGTGTCCTTGGCCTTTCCAGACTCCCACGTGCAGCGTGTATGCACGGGCTCTGTACACCTCTGTTGCCCCTGTGCCCCAATCATTGCACAGGGCAGAAGACAGCTCTGGCAGGGAAGGGGTGCCAGAGTTAGGAGCCTCAGGGCCATGGTAGGAGGGGATGGTTTTTGGAGTGACCCTGGGTCTACCCCCTCCCCTCTGGAGCTGTTTCCCTGGCAAGACTGTAACTGTGGGAATAACAAGTCATACAACCCAGGAGACATGATGCCACCTAGGGTCCTCCAAACTTTTAGGTGAGGACAGGAGCTTGTGAGTAATGCGGGAATGGCCAGAACACTTTTTGTCTCCATTCTTCTCAAGGGAATTGAGTCTCTGGGAGGGGAAATCACACAAGGCTGGACAGTGATGATCTGACCCAGGAGAACCTTGGCTGCCTGCCTTCCGGTCCAGGATTCTTTCTTCCTAGAGACCCTGGAGGGGAAGGGTCAACTTGGAGTGTTACCCTGGTTTGGAAGAAGCCCAGACAAATGTACACATTTCCCTTGAGCCCCCATTGGCTGGGGAGTGGAACCCTGGATGGGAGACATACATAGCTACACACACACACACACACACACACACACACACACACACACACACACACCCCTGATCCTACACCTTTTATTTGCCTGCATTTTGGAATCACCTGGGGAGTTTTAAACAGTACTGATTTAATTGGAGTGTGGCTTGAGAGTTTTAAAACCACAGTGTCCAGCGACGTTTGAGACCCACTGCCTTACAACCAGGCCACCTCCTTATCTGGAGTCAGGGGCACCTTCAGCTTCTCGGGTCACCTGCCCAGTAGCTCCTAAGCCACTGAACTTGAGGCTTTGTTTGAGGACAGCTGGGGGGTGGATGGGGCGGGGCCTGAGAGCTCTGGTCCTGCTGTCCCAGGAGGAGAGGCTTTCAGGCCAGAACCCAGGAACCCGGCTCTAGACTCTGTCCCCGGCAGCCTCCTCAGTCCCGGACGGGACAGGAAGTGTCCGGCAGAGGTGGGTGTGGGGATGATTGGCAGTTGGAGGCTCCAATGGGTCGAGCCCCCACTATTTCACCCCTCTCCTTACATTGGTGCCTGGGCGGAGCCGCCCCACGGCGTGCCCCAGGGCGGCAGGGAGTAGAGGCCGGGGCAGAGGGTGAGGACGGAGGGCGCTGGCGGCGGCGGCCGCAGAAGGTGAGGCCTGATGGGGCCGCGGGTGAGCTCGAGGGAGCCTTGCCAGGAGAGGGCGGGGCCAGGGGGTGTGGGATTTGAAGGGCCCGGAGTGACTGACGGAATGTCAGTGCGTGCGTGTGTGTGTGTGTGTGTGTGTGTGTGTGTGAGAGAGAGAGAGAGAGAGACTGCAAGGCTGTGTGTGACGCTGTCAGTGTGCGAAACTTCGCAAGTGTCGCTTGGTGAAACTGTCAGCTAGTGTGACTGCGGGTGTCGCTGTGCGAGGCTGAGTCTGCATGTGGCTGTGCCTGTGTGGGATTATGTGTGTGTGTCAGTGTGCAGTTTGCGGGCAGAGGCCGGGTCGTGCGTTTGTGTGTGTGTGAGAGGGCCTGTGACCACATCAGCGAATGTGTTTTGGGAAGGTCTCTGCGGAGTTTGAGACTGTGTCTGACAGTGTGAGAGTGGATGGCTGGGTTTGCGTGTGCCAGTGTGTGACTTCAGCATGGCAGAGGAGGAATGAGACTTGCACTCGGCGTGTGTCCTGTGTCCTGTTAGACTGTGGAGAAGTGGAGCTGGGTTTGCATTTTGGGGACCCACTTCAGTAGCCAATGGGACTGACCTTTCTACTTAGTGGCCAGGGTAAGCAGACCATCCCCAGCACACTTGGCTCTCCCTCCTTCTTTTAGTGCTTGAGAATCCTTGTCACTGGTCCAGTGCTCCTTATTTTCTGTCTCCCTGTCTGACTCAGTTTCCTTATATATCTTTTTCTCTCTCTACTACTGTCTTCCTAGAGCTAGTGCTCTGTGTGTCTTCACACTTTCGTCTCCCCAGGTATCTCTGTGTATCTGCTTTTTAGTCCTGCCTCTCATGTTCTCTGCATCTCTGTCTCTCTCTGTGCCCCTGTGCCTGACTCCCCTGTTCACCTTTGTCTCTTTGGCTACCTGGGGGCCTGAAATGGTGATGAGATGGGGGATCTGCCGTGCTAAGAGCTCCCTGGAAGAGGGGGCTTACACTATGATGAGGAGTTGCTTTTAGAGAGTGCTGTGACCCCCCATCCCAGGGCGGAGTGCTAAGTGTGTGTGTTTGGCTGTGCAAGGAAGAGGGAGATGTGTGTCTGTGTGTGTGTCTGGGTATGTGTAAATGTTTAAGTGTCTGAGCCTGGGTGAGGATGTCTGAGTGTATCGGTGTAACTGTGAGTGGCTGTGTCTGAGAGTGTGTGTCTGAGGGTAAGTGTGGGTCTTGTGTATCTGGCACCAAGGGACCAAAGGCATTTCCTGGTGCTGGGGCCTGAAGAGTAGCGGGGGAGGTGAGAAATGGCTGGAACGTCCAGGGGAGGGGGAAACTGGACTCTTTGGCTTTTCTTTATATCCCCCAACATGGGGCCCTCTTCCCCTTAAAATACAGACAGCTGTGCCCTAAGGAAATATTTGCTGGGGAGTGAAAAGAGTGGGAGCACGAGTATGTGTCTGCTTTTTGATTTGACTGTGTCCGCGTGTTCAAGGGAGTATCTCTGTTGACTGTGCCTGGGGAGTCCACGCGTGAATGTGCCTGTGTTCTGCTGTGTGAAAACACAGGAACCTCTTGCTGACAGGGACACAGCAGCTCTCCTTTCCCTCTTGCTGTGCCTGGCTCTGCCTGTGGCTTCCTTTCCAGACTCGGGGAGGCCTCTTCCCTTCCCAGGGCCTTGGGTGGGAGGGGGTGGGAGAGTAGGAGGGAGGAGAAAGGAGAGAGGAGGGGGCCTGGCTAGGGGCGGCTAAGCTCCATGGCCCAGAGGGGCGGGGGCAGGGAATGGGAAGGAGGGGACGATTCTGGGGTCCCAGAACTGAGTAGAGCTGAGACGGGTGCTGTAGCTGGTGGGAGGAAGTCCTGGAGGCCATGGACACTCAACCACTGGAATCATCGAGGTAGGGCAGGGCTGAGCAGGGTAAATGCGGCCGGGGGGCCGGGGTGAGCCACTAGACACACTCAGACAGACACGCGGAGGTCGCTGCTCAGCTCTACCTGGGAGGGATTTGGGTTCTCCCTCTTCTGGAGCCCTCGCCCAGGGCCCTTTGCCCATCTGCGCCTTCTCCCACCCCCCACTTCCCTCTTCCCCACTGCGTTCCTCATCCTGCTTTCTCCCATCCAGGATTCCCTCTCTCCTAGCACCTCCATCCCCCGTACACACATGGTTGGTTACCTTTTTGGCCTCTCTGAGATCCTGCTGCCCCAGCCCAGCCCTCACCTCGTTGAGCTCTCACTGCCTCCCAGTCCTGATCTCTGAGCATCTCTTTGTCCTGTGGCCTCCACCCCAGCCTCCTGTTCCTGCAGCCTCCCAGCTTCTCTCAGCCTCCTCTCCTGTCCCGCCACCCTGTCTCCATCTTCTGGCTCCTCGCCCACCCCCAGCCTCTGGCAGCAGTCAGGGCATCTGGATCTGCTTAACTCCGCAGCCTCAGCCTGCACCCTAGCCCCATCCGGCCTCACAGGCTCAAGACCAGCAAGATTCCAGAGTCAGGCCCAGATGAGCGGCGCAGAGCAAGGAGCCAGGCCCAGGCGAGAAGAGGCTTGGCAGCCAGAGCAGGGCTAGGCCTCATGGCAGGGGTACAGGGTGGGCTCAGACCCACCATGACAGTCCCACCCCAGGGTGATGAGGGCTGCCTCAGGTCAGTCAGAGGCAACGACTATCCCTGGGCCAGGTGGGATGGACACGGAATTCCCAACAGCTGGATTGGAGGAGTTAATGGGAGTGACTGAGCCGGTGCCAACACTTGGTGCCAGGGGTGGGTGCCAAGGGTGGTGCGGGGGGCGGTGCTGGCACAGTCTGTCGCCTCCAGCTTTTGTTCTGGGCCCTAAGCCCACGACTGAGAAGGGGGGGTGTGAGGGTGTGTGTGCGTGCGTGTGTGTGTACTCACAGCGCTGGGCGTATGGTGGAAAGGGGACCTTACATCAGAGCCCCCAGTGATGTCTGATGTCCTTACCCCACTGGGCACCTGGTTTCCTCCTAGAAAGCCTCAGTCTGGAAGAGGAGGAGGCAGACTTTAGCCTCCCATCTTGGGAATGGGGGATCGCTGACCTTGCGTCTCTCCCCACAGATGAGCAGCAGCTGTTCAGGGCTGAGCAGGGTCCTGGTGGCCGTGGCTACAGCCCTGGTGTCTGCCTCCTGTCCCTGCCCCCAGGCCTGGGGCCCCCCAGGTGAGAAAAACTCTGCTCTATGACCCAACTCTGACCTGTGACTTGCCACTATCACCGTGGCCCCTCTCATGCCTAACCTGTCATCCTCCCAGCCCCTGAAATCCAATCTGGCAACATCTCTCTACCCTGCTCTCTGACCTCTGTCTCCAGATTATAACATGATGTTTTGACCCCATGAC